CTTTTCGCTACATACTTTTTTTGGCGGGGACAAAGAAAAAAAATATACTTTTGGCCTCGCCTTCCCCGCCAAAAAAAGTATATAGCAAAAAGTATGTACACGTACATACTTACTTTGAGTACCCTTAATATGTATGGTTTACATAATGAAATAGAAATTACAATCTCACCAAAGATGTCAATCAGGTCCAAAGTGCGACTGATTTTCTTTTGATTGCTGCAATGACATGGCTCTTTGAAATCAAGATCCCATGTTTTGGATAATCCCCAATGACAAGTCTTTTGACGACATTTGAGAAAGGTTAAAAACATAGGATGTGCGGCATCCTTCCATTGTCGAGCTTCTCTGATCCGCCGTTCTTGGTAGGTTTCATTCGTGATAAGTTGGACGTAAGCAGGCCCAGGTGCATTTTCCGGTTCCGATTCGACATCTGAATAGGAAGTATTGGAGGATGAGTCTGAGGGATCATCGTTGTGGTTGTGGTGCAATTCTTCCATGTAATGATCCACGTCTTGTTCTTCAAAGGGAATAGGCAGCATTGGATTTGTGATAACCTGTGATAGTCTATCAATTAAAGGTTCAGCATACTCGAATTCCATCTCTTCAAATTCTTCCAATTGACGTGCAGATCCAGATTGATTTTTTGTTTGCCGGGCTTTGGGTCCCAGCGGACACGGGGTTCTTGATTCAGACATCTTGGAATTTATTTGAAGGTATACAAAAATTGAATACGAAAGGGTCACGATGAATTATGAGATGACCAAAAGCCCAATCAGGGACAATTGCTGATGCATTGATTCCATCCCCATTGAGTTTGGGGGCCCTGAATTGGGACCCCTTCATTGAATACAAATCAAGACTTTTGTGTCACACTCAATCAATAAATGTTTGACATTTTGGTTTGACATGGATTGAGCATAGCAGAACTGACATGATGCTCTATTCTAACTGTGGAGTCCTCCCACCAAATAGGACCCATTTGGCCCGCTGAAAGCACTCAATGATTCATAATAATTGACATACATCAAGTATTTTCATACCTGATTAAACCAATGTTAACTAAACACCCAAGTCACCTCATCAAAGAGAGAGAACTGGTCCTGTTTTGTTGAAGAGCGGGAGCGGGAATATTTTTTGAAATTGTTTGAGTATGATTTTGAGAGTGAAGGAGGTGGATGGCATCAAAAGTGTTATATTAAACTAGACCTGATTTTCAATTTTGTCATCTGGGGGCAAAGACATTGGCAAATATCCTGCATCTTCAATGAGAACTGGTCCTGTTTTGTTGAAGAGCGGGAGCGGGAATATTTTTTGAAATTGTTTAAGTAAGATTTTGAGAGTGAAGGAGGGGGATGGGGTCAAAAGTGTTATATCAAACTAGACCTGATTTTCAATTTTGTCATCTGGGGAGAAAGATGATGGCAAATATCCTGCATCTTCAATGAGTGTTGGGCCATTTTTTCTGCAAAGTGGGGGCAGAGATGATTGTTAACATGTGTTTGAGTGGAATTTTGAGAATGAGAGAAGGCTTTGATGCAAAAAGTGTTATATCAAACTAGCCTTTAATTTCCATTTTGTCATCTAGGGGAAGAGATATTGACACATTTCCAAC